TTATTTATCTCGCTCTAAGTTAGTATTTCGTTATAATGAGTAAGTATTTCATTATAATGAGCTTTATAGAAAGTTTAAAATCACAAATTTTTCCAAAGTCAGTAACATCAAAACGTATGACTTTTCTACACTTTATACCACCATTTCACATGATAAGTTAAAAACTATGCTTTTGATATCATACATTGTACAACTGCTTCTTCAATAAAAATGGAACTCGGAAATTTTCATATTTTGTGATTGGTCTTCTGCAAAATTACTTTGTTAAAATTTAAATCACTCTGATTCTATCATTTTAAGCGTAAGTACTAGATGAGGTTGATATTAAAAGGACTCCGGAGTTCCTAATCGACAACATCTATGTCATCTTTAGAGACCAGGTCTTCCAACAAACTGTTTGGATGAGGGAGCGAATTAGGCCCCTTTTTTAGCAGAATTGTTTTTATATTTCCTATTTCCAGTGGTGTATATTCCTTACTGCTGATGTGTTATGATATGAAGACCACTTAACAGAATTGAGAACTTTTAACTATTTTTACTCTGCTTAGAAAATATGGAAACTTCCTTCTGAATAATCGAAATACGATCAATCCGTTTAACTTCCTACTAACCAAAAATATTTCCAGTTATCAATTTCACTTCCTGCTCTAATCCTGTTGCTGTCGATGGTTTTGAAATTGTCTGATAAGACTTAATATAACACTTGAATTACGGCTTAAAAAGCAAAACTGTAAACATTTTTACATGGGATAGGTATAAAAGTGCGGATTGCTAAGAATGCTTTTTTGGCATTTGCAACAAAATAATATTAATAGGCAGATTTATTATCAACTCCCCTTTCCCATTTTTTAAACTAAATTTTTATCCTTGACAAAATGATGTGTAGGCTACATCCTTTTTGCCTAGTATATGGAATATACGCCACTGATTTCTATGAAGCAGAATTCATTTTAAAAAAAATCTACACGAGAAGGAAAAAGAAAAACACTTGCTGTGGCCTTCAGTTCAGCATTTAGATATATCGACGACGTTTTATCAATTAACAATAATTACTTCCATATATATGTCGACTCTATATATCCCAGACACTGGTCACAAATTAAAGTCTGCCACATCTGTTTCAAATTTGGATGTTTTACTGACTATAGACAATAAGGGCCAACTAACAACTATCAACTAAACTGTATGACAAACGAGATGACTTCAGCTTTTCCATCGTCAAATTTCCTATTTATATTGTAATAACCTGCATATGGTGTTTCTGTCTCCCAGCTTCTTCGATACTTAAGAGCATGTGCTGAGTACTGATCAATTTTTACACTGAGCAGGTTGGCGACAATAAGTTGGTGGTACAGGGATTTCAACAACCTCGTTTAAAGTCAGCATTTCGTCAATTCTATGGTAATAATCTTTATTCAGGAATAGGCATTATGCAATGTACATGAACACTGAGGTGTGAGTACTATACACATTCAAAACATTTAAATAGACATGATTTAAGAAATGAATTTTAAAACAAATTAACTAACAAATCTTATTTGCATATAAATCAAATAAATATATTATATATATGCCTAAACCCAAGGATAGCCCATGAAAGCCAGTATGGCTTATTTCCAATGGGGTCCTTTTACATGTAACAAAATTGCTGGCGTATGACACATATAATAACTTAATATAAACAATAAATAATATACTTACTATAAACAAGATGGCTTAAAAATTCCAATCATACTTAATATGCAAAAGCATCTTAAACACAAGTTCTTAATTGTATAAGAAGAAAGAACAGTTGGGTTATAAATCTAATAGTAAAAAAAGTCCTCTTTAGACATTTTCTTTAGTTTTTCCATGAAATGTTTTTTGACCTCTTTTATGAATTTTGATTTATTGGTAATTTTTTTTAATCTGATCAGGTAGAGAATTCCAATCTTTAATTCCACTGTAAAAAAAAAAAGTTTCGCTTTCCAATTTTTGAACCCTTGGCACAAAAAAAAATTAAATTTCTTGGCCTTGTACAATTTTTAGAAACATTTCGTTTAAAATTGCTGTACATATAATTTGGACCTTTATTATGAAATATATGTTAAAGACATGGTTGAGGCTTAACTGACAAACTCTACTTCTGATATTCAAAAACCCCCCAATTTTTCAAATTCATTAACTCTGACTCTTGATCTAGGTGAAACACCAAGAATAATTCTAATTATCTTGTTCTGTGCAACCTGAAGTCTATTTTTTTTTTATTTTTCAGACAGTCCTTCATACCAACAAGTGATAGCATAATCAATGTGACATTGAATTAAAGCAGTACACAAAGATTTTCTTGATTGCATTGACAAACATGATTTTTGCCGATATAAAAATTTGAGTCGTTGGTTTGTTTTACTCATAATAGTTTCTACAATTTTTTTCACCAGATGGTAAGTTATCTAAAAAAAACTCCTAAATATTTAACACAATTTTTACATTCAATTTTGATTCCATCACATACAACTGAAAACGCTGTCTACTTGATCAATACATAAAGCTCGCGACGGATGTGACCCATCGACAGGGGATGCTTACTCCTCCTAGGCACCTGATCCCACCTTTGGAATTTCCAGGGGTTCGTGTTTTATGCCCTGTTCACATATTTGTACAGCTGTTCTATTGTTTTTATTTTTGAAATCGGCTACTGTTCGTTATCTTCAGCTATTTCGTTGATAATCTCGTTAAAACAAGTTGTTTATCCCATTAAAGCATTTTTTTTATTCCTTTATAACGAGGTTAGTGTTTCTTTATAACGAATAAATATCTCCTTATAACGATTTATCGTCTCTTTAAAATCAGTTTCTCTGTTAAAGCAAGTTATTTATCCCGTTTATAGGTAGTTCTCTCATTTATTTTAAAGATTCGTTATAACGATTTTATTGCTTTATTCGAGCAATTCCGTTATAAGAAAATACAAACATACATGTAGTTATTTCGTTATAAAGGGTTAAATATCTCTTATAAAGAGTTAATTATCTCGTTATATCTCATTATATAAACATTCTAACGAGTTACTTAAAAATGAGCCTTTCCGATTTCTGCGAAGAAAATTCACTGTGACAGTACATATTGTCGTCGGTGACAATATGCAGCTACATGTAACCTCACTGCACATTTTGTCGTCCATCGGCACATATTATCGCCGGCTGAAAAATTAAAGATGAACATATTATTGACGGCGACAATATGTGCCTACCCTCACTGTACATATTGTCGCCCCAAAGATAGGGTTGCTAAATTTAAGGATTCTTTTTCATAGCTTTGTGAATGTAATCGGTGTGTGAATCACACAGACTTGGCTTGCAAGTATATTTCAGCAATAGGCTTGATTTTCACTTTGTACGTATATTGATATGCGTCAGTTTACACAAAAATGGGAATAAATTATATTTTCAGTTTTACAAGAGATTGTATGTTCATAAGGAAAAATTAATGCAATAAGATGTTAAAATACAAGTTGTTCAGTGAAGAAACTGAATAATGCAATTCTTTAAAAATACCAAGAATCTCTTTCATTCGACCCCAGTATAAAAACAATCTTCAAACAGCACTGGACAAAAAGAAGCAAATGTTAGCAGCATACATCGTCGCCGACCACAATATGTGCCAATGTAAGGTATATTTTGTCGCCCATTCTGCAGGGAGAAACTAGAGGTACTGTGAGCACTTAGCCCATAAAATGATATCCCCGCTCCTATATGAAGTGTCCATATTTTTGTAAGGGAAACCCCAAACACCCCTCCGAGCAGAACATAAGATAGGAGGTGCATAAAAGCACTGTACATGCAATATTCTGTGAAAATCTCATTTTATTCAGTAAATATGGGCGGAGTTGCGGATGGTGATGTTCATGCATGTTTTGCTATTCCAAAAGCCAATAACGAAAAATAAGAGGTGCATAATTAATGGCACTATGTACATGTAATATAGATTCTGTGAAAGTATCATGAAATGGTATACAGTTGTATAGGAGGAGTTTCGGAAAAGAGAGGGGTATCCCAACGTTAAAGAAAGAATTGGGGTGTCCAGGTTTTGCTATGGGAAACCCAAAATATCTCTCCGATCGAAAGTAATACTGGGGGTGCACAGTGACAAAATGTAACAAAGATTCTGTGAAAGTCTCATTAAATTTTATTCAGTAGGATAGGAGGAGTTGCGGATAAGAGATACATGGGTACCCCCAATGTTATAGAAAGAATGACAGTGTCGATGTTTTGCTATTCAAAATCTCAAATATATGTCTAATCGAAACGTGAAATAGGAGATGCATAATAGGACTATGTTATAAAAATTCTATGAAAGCTTCAGTAAATTTTTATTCTGTGGTATAGGAGGAGTTTCCGATAAGAGATGGTACTCTGAAGTGTTACGGAGTACGGAAGGTGTCACCATATATCTCCCGCTTTTCAAGCCGAGATATAAAAAGGACTCATCTCGGCACATATTGTCACCGGTGTCAATATGTGCCGATGGACGACCATACGCGCAGTGAGGATAGGTACTGGACAATATGTACTGAGCGACAAAATATGCCGTCATAATCCAAAATTAGTGAACACGTGCATGTACCATAAGACAAGCTTGTTATAACTTAATTTGTTAGATAACACACATATATAGAAAATTTTACACGGTCCTGGTATTGATAAGTACATCTTTTTTTTCCGAACAAAAATCAATTGTAAAGAATTTCAAACGGGTATTTAAATGGGCAGATGACACGTCGACCGGTAAATGATTTAAATATAACAATGGATTATCGCGCGTCCGAGGACATTGTCGTCTTTACATCTGTAAATAACATGTATAACCAGTTGAGATTCTTGATCTATGACCGCCGTCCTAAATTAACCCCGTTTAGTGCACTGTCTTAAAATAACTTCATTAAACTTAAGGACAGAGTAACTAATTACAGGTAAAAATATTACGTCAAGTTACCTGTGAGTCATTGCATGTTTCGTTCATGTTTTAAACTAATGTGAATTCACGGCACGTGCGTGTAATGCTTGCTTTTCGCTGGAGGTTGTGTGTGTAAACTGAAACAAATTACTTTTAGCGAAAAACAGAGATGTCTACAAGCTTCAGGAACTTATGATAACAACTACTGGCTCCTGGAGAGGAGGAATGCAGCATTTTATTTACTTCTGATTAAACTGTGGAGGAAATGTGGGTTAGTTTGGAATGGTCTCGTGTTGTAGCGTCATCATGTGTTTGACATGGTTCATTTCAGAGATACAGGTAAATGCATGCCTCGTTCGTGATATTCAAATATGCATCTTCATTAAAAATCATAATGGGTCACTAATTTTGTAACGTGTGTACTTTCACTTTTGATTCAATGTACGATCGATACACCTGGACAAACACATTGAAGGAGGAAGGAAATAATATAGGAAATAGCACGTTTATAAAGCATTGTTTTGCAGGTAGAAATGTAAAAATGCACACCTGTTGGGCAGTTTTGTGATATTTCTGATGCGGTTGCTTTATCGGAATCTTAGGTGGTATGACTACAAATTATATCTTAGTTGGTTAAGATCTGACACGATCCATAAAATTTTACCGAGGAACTATTAAGAAAGAACCGTCACAGGATGTGAACATTTACACTGCCATTAGAAATCAAATAATAAATACTCAAAAAAGCGATAAAAGTACACGGGATGGGCTATAAAAGGCGGGGAATGCCTGGTCTCCATTAGACACATGGTCTCGAGCTATTGAGTCAATTAGAATGAAAAAAAATTATTATGTATATTTATTTCTCTAAAGGTCCATTAAGAATATATTCGTACATTTATATAAAATACTTCAGTCCAGGCGAAGAAAGTCACACAATCATTAGCACTTACTGTAAGGATTTATCCCAAATATTTTACTTAAATCTGATAATAATAAAATTACATTTTCTGAGTCATTTCATGAACTGAATCTATGGCAAACAAATCTCTATACACTGCTATCCGATCTGTTTTTCTTTGCTTGAATCAAATTCTAAATATAACCCTGAAGGTGCTATCAAATCCAGGAGGCACGCAGGATTAGACCTAATCTATAAACACCAATATTATTTTAAGAAACGGAAAACATTTTCCTTTAATCCATTTAATGGAGTCTTAAAAGACAGGCGTAGGATTTCAGCCAAGCTGTATTGGCAGCAATTGGTGGGAAACTCCCATCGTATGGAGTGCATATAAATTGGATGTCGACCTAAGTCGTTAATTAACTGAATTCGTGTTCTTACAATCATTAAGCTAATTACCCCCCAGATATGGTTCAAAGATGAAGTTTTTTTTTGTTTTTGTTTTATTACCACCTTGATCGCTTCAGATGTTACAGTACTGTTGCAGTGTTTGCACGATGTTGCAGTACTGTTTATTTCATGTTTGTTTTATAGATATTATGTAATCATCATCTGTTAACAGGTGTTATATACATGTTTCTATATCCTTAGCCGCATTATACATGTTATACACACAAGCGATGTCAGGATTTTTGGGGGTAACACGTCCATGAATTTCATCAGAGTTACAGTGACATATAATTATATGAAAGCTTTTATTGCAATCCTGTACGTACATGTAGCAACTTCTGCCGATTGAAGAAGTTTTAATGTTATTGCAGACTATTTTTAGTGTTTCTACGAGATGTGTATATGACAGCAGGAGATAGAATACGGGCACCTGTTCCTGTAAAATACACTTCAGCGTAAGAAACAGGGGATTAGACATTGATTTTTACGAGTTGATGGTATCAACTCATGTTATATGACTTGTAAGGGATTCCCCAATGTATCGAAACTAATCACATTTTCGTTTGAGTACTTTGCGTACGGTTTCTTGTATAATACTGGTTTATTTACAATTTTCATAATCTACAGAACAAGGATATGTTTCCTGATATGCTTTGAAGTGTTTATAAACTTATATATTTACTATTGATTTTAATGGAATTTGTGTCTATCCGCTAGAGAAAATAGTGTTAGGGATATGCGGTCAACAAAAGTGACATGTCGTAGAACAAAGTTTTGATTTATAAATCAATGTTTTATATAATAAGAAGTATTTTGAAAACAGATTTTTAAAGAAAATTCACAAAACTGAACATTGTACAAACCAGGTTATTTTTACAAGATTGACGTGCTGGTGGTATATAAATAAACTAATATTCTTGCGCTGTTATGCTCATGAACAGAGCAGTTTTCCCGCGCTAGTTATGAATCGTTCAACACAGAGAACACTGCCTATGTTTGTAAACAAAGCGAGGAGTGTGCAATAAAGAAGATCGAAGTAAACCAATTACTAATCTCAAACGGAAGAAATGAGCTGTACCAGTTGAAAAAACAATTTTGAAATTAAAGTTCTTATTTCTTGTGCAAGCAATAAAAGATTTCGATTGCTTAAAGGGTTAGATTTTTTTTAGCAGCGGACAGCTTTGTGTTCCAATCTTTTTCCTTGTTAAAAACAGTGTTGAGAATTCCCGTCTTCCACAATCTAGATCTCTTTCACAGCAAGCTTTAAATACATCAATGGTCACTTATTACGCCTGTGATTCTTATCTCAATTAATTGTCGGCACAACACTGGAAAGTGGTTTCCTTTAATATGCCCAGCTGTGTTATGCTATCAGATGCTGGCCATGTGATAAAGTGAATTAGTATTGTGAAGGCAATAAATAAAAACAAAAACAAAAAAATTAAGCGGGGTGTTATTGATAAATTAAATGTGAAATGCATATTTATAAATGTGAAGAGATTAAGAAATCAAATTAATTCAAGAGTAGATAGCTCATGTAAATGGTCAATATCATGTCATTGTGATGAATTTAAAGTCTTCAGTCGAAAAGCCGAAAGAATTGAAATATTAAACGTGCATACATGTATCAATGAAAGTCAAGTAGTTGAATTTCAGGAAAGGCTAAACTGAGAGAAATGATGTATAAAAAGTATGCATATCAATTAAAGTCATGTAGTTATATTTATTTCAGGAGTGACTTAACCAAACGAAATGACATATAAAATGCTCATTTCAGTTAAAAGACAAGAAGTTGCATTTCAAGAGTTGCTAAATCAAGATAATTAAAATATTTATTGTGCATATCAATGATCATAAAAGACAGGGTGCTGAATATCAAGAGTGGCTAAATCAAGAAAATTGAATTATAATATGTGCATGTAAATTTTGAAAGACAAGGGGTTGAATTTCAATAGTAACTAAATCAAGAAAATTGAATTATGTAATATACATATATATAAATGAAAGTAAAAGATATGAATTTTAAGACTGGCTTAATCACGAGAATCGGAATATATTGATGTGCATTGAAAATGTCAAATTGTTTGTCAATTTAAGGAAGTACTGAAAATATTCAATAAGTGTGTTAATGAAATAATTCAATTTGCGCTATTTGTAAGTAATAATTCCCTACTTGTAATACTATTGTAGGTTTTGCCAATTAGTTTGAGATATGTGTGTTTAAAGCGTTTTCTTGTTTTTGTCTATTTAGGAGTTGTTTTAGTTCTGTAATATGATTTTATGCAACAGTTGTGCCATTTTTCCCTATATGAAATTTCTAGTCACTTGATATATAATATTTCTGTCAAATGATATTGAGTGCCCAAGAACTGTTCCCGGTAGTTTTAATGATGATATTCTGTGCTCTGTGACCATTTCAATGATGGTAGTATCCTTTAATATTTAAAAAAAAAATACCAAATTACTTTAAATGCAAGCTACATTGTCATTTTACAAAAAATCCCAAAACTAATTACATGCGCGGATCTAAAGGGGGGGGGTGTCCGAACCCTCCTCCCCCCCCCCCCCCGGAATTTGCAGAGTTACTAAAAGTATATACTGAGGCAAAAAAAAAAACAACAACATTGGATCCCCCCCCCCTGAAAAAAAGACCCCAACATCACCACCACGAAATAAGTGTTTTCCCACGATTTTTTTCACCGGGGTGGACCCCCTCCCCTTTGGAAAAAATCATTGCTGGATCCGCTCCTGAATTAGTATTACATTGTATTATTTTTCTATATTTAAAGGTTCGATTTGTGATAAATTATTATACATTCCAGTAGATATTAAAAAAATAAAATATATTAAAAATGCACGATAGAAAAGGTGGAAATAAAATGATACAATTTTATTTCTCAAAGAAAACAAAAAGAAAAGATTAAGTGATAGTTTTCATCATTGCACATAATATCACATAATCCAAATATGAATTAGAGACATCAACTCACTTAAACATTAAAATCAATACCATCAACTCGTAGTAGTACTTTCAGTACTTTGATTAATATGATTGGCTAACCCAAAAGTTCGTTTAGAAGGTGGAATACGCATATAAATGTAACTGTAGGGTTTCTGCTTGAGTAATAACAAATTAAATACACATAGAATGGATGCAACACAGACAACCATCTCTGATGAAAAAAATCTGGCATCCTCGATGTCTATTTATTCGTGTGGAATTCTCATAAGAAGTTTGTTTTACGCACTTTTTGTCATTTATTTTAAAGAAAAGTGGGTTTGCATATCAGAGTTGGAAGCAAGTCAATAAAGTAGCTTATCTGTGGTAAATCTCATTCTTTCAAAGAATGTTATTCACTTTTTGTGATTTAAAAAAAAAACAAACAAGCAAATTCAAAGAATTGTGGTCCCCCACTTTCGATATCTTAGTGGATGGGATTGTGTCAAATATTACGCCCTATCATATGTCATTCGAAAGTAATAACCAAAGTTAAAATTTTTGAAAATTAGGTCAAACATGAAGGTCAAGGTCAAAGGGTAAAAAAATATTAATAGCATGCTCAGAAACATCTTGTTACAGGTAATGCACGTGACAAATATGAAAGCCCTATCTCTTCTCTTTCAAAAGTTATAAGGATAGTTAACATTTTTAAAAGTAGGTCAAGGTCACGGGGTCAAAAATCATAGTGTATTTAGAAAGGTCTTGTAATACACATGTGAAATATGAAAGCCCTATCTCTTCTCATTCAAAAGCCATGACCAAGGTTTAAGTTTTTGAAAAGTAGGTCAAACATGAAGGTCAAGGTCACGGGGTCAAAAATCAAAGTATATTTAAAAAGGTCTTGTCACAGGAATGCACATGTGAAATATGAAAGTCCTATCTCTTCTCATTCAAAAGTTATGACCAAGGTTAAAGTTTTTATGACAGACGGAGAGACTGATAGACGGACAGACGATGAGATTTAATATCCCCTCGCTTTCGCTAAAGCGGGGGACAAAAACCATAGCCTTTCATTGCAACTTTCGTCATTTTCTTTGTTTTTAGGTCTATTATTATTATAATTCTGATTATTTTTACCATTATTTACTGTTTAAGTGGCATCTGTGGTCATATCTATATTTGTCTGATAGGTTTTTTTTTCAGTGCTGAACATTTATTGAGGTGCGTATTTACTAGTTGTGTTCACCTTTAACTGAGGATATTTCATTTTTCCACACTAAGTCCTGTCACCTTTTATTTTTATGAAAAATACGGTGCATCAATTCTTGGAAAATATCATGACGTGTTGTGAATGAATAATTAATTGTTGATATTATTTAACACACGTCAGGCAGAATTATACCACAATTATTTTGTATGTAAGAACCACACGTAGAAACAACTTAAAAAATAATTGAATATGTCAAAAATACCCACAGATGCCATCAATTGTCAGGTTTTTAAAAGTTTTAATTCATTGTGTGGGAGTAAATACAATATTTAGAACATTAAACGTACCTGCAAAAAATATTTTTCTTCTTACGACAGCTGGGTTAAATTGTCAATTTATTATTTTATTATCTAATATTATCTAAGTTTCATCAAGCACAGGAAGCGTAACTGAGAATTTTAAAAGATTTAAAAAGCATCGTATTCCAAATAAATAGATAAATAAATAAATGAATATATATATATATATATATATATATATATATATATATATATATATATATATATATATATATATATATATATATATATATATATATATATATATATATATATATACAGTGGACCTTCAGATATCCGGACGCCAGATATCCGGACGCTTCAGTTTCCGGACGATTTTTCATGGGAACAGAATTCTTTAACGTGATTTTGTCTCGTTAAACCGAAATTTCGCGTTCCGTATCCGGACGGTCTTTTTTCAACACAAAATGAATTTTTTACGTTATATTTTGGTTTATTTATCCGGACGGTAATTTTTTAATTGGTCTGTCAATTCTGCAAAAAATTTTTGATCTGGGTGTTAATTGTTGAAAAAACACTTGCCTGGCTATTTGTTTAAAAAGATGATCTCTTGCGATCTGTTATCAATGGCTTGCGGCAAGGTTTATAGGTCGCACGAGACTCTCGCTTCTCTAACATGTATATGATACGTATTAATTAAGGAAAAATAAGTCTATATTTTTTTCGTAGTCGGCAAATATATATTTCTTTTACTGTTAGAATACAGTCGTAACATTGTTTTGTGTATTGCTACTTACAGACATGACATCGGATTTTTTTATTCACAGTATTTTGTGCGCAAAACGGATTCTGTGATTTGATGACATATATAAAATCACTTTTATTATTACACAATCGTTAATACGATCTTGATTTTGATAAGCGTACGTGTGCAGGTAATTTCACATTAAACGTTGATGAGCGTTCATATTAAATAAAGACTGTACCGACAGTTTTTTCTCTACAAGCTCCACAGACACTTGGTTAGGAGAAGTTATTCATTAGACACTGGGAAGTAGAATTAATTAATGCTTTCATATTAACAACGTTTCAGCCAATGGCAATATACTTTTTTTTATTTTATTTAAACAAGTATTAAGAGGTACTAACATTTATTAAAGTATTTAAACATTAAAACATATTGATATAAACAAACAATCTTTAATATTGCCAATGGAATGAGATGCCATTAAACTAAAATCAAGCCAATTCAAGTATCCAGACGCTTCACTTATCCGTACAAATTGACTGGGAACCAAAGCGTCCGGATAAATGAGGCTCCACTGTATATATATATGAGTGTGCTTTAATTTTCTTTGTGGTACTTTGAAACCATCTTAATTCTTCCTGTATCTCTTTTAACTCGGAAATTATTTTGTGATTTATTACCAAAGATGAAGTCATTTTAATTTCTCTGTTTTTCAGGTAACCAGTTTGGTAAACCTAAGACAGAAAGTCGAGTATTATGAATATTCCTGCACAACGGGACAGTACAGTCCGAAAGAATTTCTTGATCTCGCACCCTGTCCCCCTCCTGGAAAGACCCATCTAATATGTGATATACCGGCAAATATCACGTGCCAAGAAAGGACGCATATATTACAAAACTGTATAATATATTTAACAGAAGCTGCAATAATCCGAACATTTATAACGTGCAATCAATCTTCAAAAGTGCAATGTGTAGAATTCGTAAATTTATGCAAGAACGTTTCGAAGTTCAACTGTGGAACTCCTCAGTCCATAAAACCGTCAACTACCACCGTCCCTCCTCATATCGTTACGTCCCCTGTAGGATCAATCAATAGATCTGACACTTCTATGAATAAATCTGATATCACTGTTAATGGTGGAAGACCGGAAGTTCCAGTTGTCACTGCCGGAAGTAGAAACTGGTGGCCTTTGCTAGCTTTACTAGTGATACCCATTGTAGTTATTTTGGTATGCTTTGTCTACTGCCGTAGAAAAAGGTAATTTTGATTTCAGAAGAGTGTAATTTTATTTGTTCCTCAATTAAGTTATCAAACCGTTCACGGTAGCTCAGTCGGTAGAGCGCTCACTCCGTGATCGGGAGGTCTTGAGTTCGAATCTCGGCCGCGACTGACCTAAGTCGATAAAAAATGGGTAGCAACTGTTCCTTCGCCATGCACTCGGCACTTTGAAGTGAAAGTTGCGGGTCCTTCGGATGAGACCTTAAAAACCGAGGCCCCGTGTCACGACAGGCGTTGGCACGATAAAGATCCCTCACTGCTCAATGGCCCTGAGTGCCGAGTAAAGGTCAAAATTTGAAGCCCTTCACCGATATAAGGTGCAAGAACGTTTCGGTATAAGGTGACGTCTCTATATGAGTGAAAAATTCTCGAATGGGACGTAAAACAACATACAATCAATCAATCAATCAATTAAGTTATCGTGCTTATGAAGTTTTCGAGGGTTAAATGTAAATATAAAGCTAATATATATTTTTATCACAATGATTCAAATACAGTAATTATCTCTAAATTCTTAATATTAAGAAATCTAATAAAAATATAAAAATTGAGAAAATAAGAGGAATTTTTTGCTTCCTGTATAATATAATATACATAATACATAATATGTAAATGCAAAAATATTCATCCTAAGAATTGATTATTCTAGTAAAGTGGACTAAAATTGTAGTACGATTCTCGTAATATAATATATAAAGTGGGTTCACTTGAGCCCAGCATATTATTTACGTAAAAAGAAATCTCTGTAATGTTTCTAAAGATTATAAAAAAAGGATTTATCAACAAAGTAATATCGAAATATTGTATTAGATATAATTATCGACAGTAAATCACTCACGTACATTAAGTATTGAGGTAAGATTGGCATTTATTAATTGTTTTACAGATCCTAAATATCAAGGTGACGTGCGATGTAAAAGTACGGCGGCCATTTTGAAGTGGCGAATAATTATGTCCCTTAAAATTGACTGTAGCTTAGTTTTTGGTGTGAATAGATGTTTTTTTTCCATCGAGGTGATTTAAGCAATTATAGTTATTTCCCCATTGCGGCCATATTGTAGGTCAACATCCCCAGATCCCTTCATTATTCAACCTAGTTCAACATTTGTTATATTGGGCACTGATTTGAAGATAACACTGTTTTTCTTATGAATATACGTTTCTTATAGCTTCTTCTGATTCAAAATTTCAATATTGTAAACATTTTCTGGCATGCATGTTTAAAATCGGTTGTTCAAAGAGGAAAATTCACTACTTTGACCTACAAGATGATGGCCAAGGGGAATAACTCCGAGGCAAAATACGTCATAAGAAAACTATCCATAGAGAGTTTAATGCATTTTCGAACAACATGACTTATGTGAGCATTTTGGCCAATAGACATCATCCGTCTCTAATCATATAAGTTGATGAATCCTGCCCACAACTGCTTACAAAATAATATTTTGTTTTTCTTTTTTTTTTTCAACCTGTGTAGATCTCAGAAAGATAGTCCTGTCCATTATCAACAGGTACCGAAAAAATCACCGGAGGTAAATATTTTAAAAGACAATAGGGTTAAGAAGAGGGATTCTTTCATCGGTCAAGGAGACAAGTTTAAAAAGGTTCCATACATTGACGGGGTTGTCAATGGGTCAGACGGTGACTCATCTACAAAAGACGATTCCGGCCAAGAAATCATCGAAATGATCACAGACGTCTCACAAATTGCATATTAAAAGTATTATATTTAAATTTTATTTTATTTTCACACTAGGCATATATAGAGGCAGCAAACAAATGTATAGTTTTTAAAATATTGTATATATTTATGAAGTAGTTTGGAGGAAAGGTTGGGTGCTTTACATTGAAAATGACCAAACCAAAATACGCATTTTTAAGTGTTGATATATTTTTAGATTGAATTCAACTCTCGACCTCACTGTCAATGTTTGTGATTTTAATATCATTGAAATAGTCAGAAATACGCAAGGATATGATGAAAGTTAAAACACATCGTTTTTTTTCTTAATAAAGAAATTTTTGTTAATTTTCTAGTTTTTTTTGTTTTTACCTTCTTATTATTTTTTTCAGTTAAAAAAAGTCACTGCGTAGAAAGTGAAAAAAACCCACAACTTTTCATCCCCTTTAGATCTCCCTTTTTGCTTTTCGTCTATGCATTATATACTTATGACCATGTGCAACATATTCATGCATGCAATTCTTCCTTCTGTATAGTTTTCAAAGAATCACTGTCATATACCTTTTGGATAGACCCCTCCTGTCTTAAATAGCATATGAACTTCATAGAAAACTTTCCTGGATGTGTGCCTGTAGTACCAATTCCATATGAATTAACTTAGAGCATTATCACATTTCTGATCATCCTCGCCAGCCAGGGGTCCTGAGTCAACACGTTGCCGTTGGACCAACGGCAACGTGTTGACTCATGACCCCTGGCTGGCGAGGATGATTTCTGATGTGATCTTCTTTTTGTGTAAATGTAAATAACAAATGAATGTTCCTCTTAATATCCGTGTGTATTCAGAAGCATACTTTTCCTGTTTACAAACACTAATTTGTATGGCCTATCTATGTGTAAAATATTGTATTATCTCAAACGAAATGCTTATATTTTTTTTTATTTTTTATTTATTTATTTTTTTTTTTGCATGGGTGTCTTGAATGTTTATGTGTGAAAAAAGGAGCAGTGTGTCTAGTTGATTATACAGTTTTTATAATTTAAGACAATGAAACACCGTGAACCATAAAGCACCTGACCTCCTCCTTCACGTTTTTTTTTTATTGAACTATATATACATGTATAACGTTAAAGTTTAAAAAATAAATTCTTGCCTTTTGTTTGATCATTTATTTATTATGGAATTAGTTTCAAACCAGGCCGTGGGAAGCATCTGATCTTTGGTTGGAGGCATTCACAACCGAACAGAAATTCCTTGACAAATAAAAAAAAATTCGTCACATAATAGTAACAATATTGACGGGACGCAACCGCATTTTTTTTTTGTCATGTTCTAAATTTTGAATTTACCGGGTGGGAGTAAATACAAAATTTAGAACAACGCGTCATGTTCTAAATTTTGTATTTACTCCCACCCGGTAAATTAATTCAAAATTCAGAACATCACATTTCTATTGATATCATTTAGTGTAAATTGGTATTAATTTTCTTTTGTGTTGTATAATTATTGGGACACGCCCCCTTTTTTTCATTAGAAGAAATTAAAGTGGTGTTTTACCAAAAACATATAAGTCACGATTGTACATTTACAGGATTCTAAAAGTAAATCGACATGACGTGCATATTTTGATTGCTATAATATGTTTATTGTTCTATTTGGACAGAGCGAAGAAATCCTTTTATGTTGCACATCTTGCCGTGTTAGTTTGATATTCTTTGAAAATCCGTCCGATTGCTGGAACTCTGCAGGATCTGATAATGGTTAATACAGTCATATTTTTTTTACTTACATGTAACCTCCTCCCCCCCCCCCCCTCTGGTTGTGTCACTTTATCACAAGAATTTAGTGCAGGGTACGTGAAACAGATGAAACTTTCTTTCAAATGTCACCTCACCATAAGTCCAGTTATACGTGTAACGTGTTTTGTAAGCTGAAAACCATGCAAAAAAAAATTAAAATAAAATAAAATTAATTAATTAATAATAAAATTTAAAAAATGGATCAAAGTAATTGGTTCCTCTCATTATAGTATTATACACGATCACTACACAAGCAGCATGGTCAAAACATATAAATTTCATGTAGTTCACATATTTTATTTATCACTTTTACTATAATTTACTTAAATATAATTTGAATGAATGCTTGATCTACCTGTGGTCTTGGAACAATTTTCTTTCCTTTACTAAACCTTTTATAAATAAAAAGAAGTACATATTGATAAATTTTCCATTGAGAGGTGTGCAGAGTTGATATATTTCACCCGAAAATGCGTGATTACTTCATACTTCATGAGATCTACTGTGATGAAATTGACTTTAACAGTATAAGTTATAGTTAGAGTACGAGTTTCCTACTGTATCGGAGATACAGGGCGGGGCTTAAGGCGAGAGCGATAGCTCGAGCCGGGCCCCGCCCTGTATCTCCGATACAGTAGGAAACGATCTAAATGACTTATGACATGACCTTTCTTATGACCTCGCTAATTTACATGTGTTTTTGGGTATATATCTCTCAACCAATCAGATGATCTTGCAGAAAGTTGATTTAGAACCCAATTTATAGCAATCGCAACTGAAATGCCGAGTGAGGTGGACGTGCAGGTATCTATCAATTTAAATAATTATAATTATGAGATGCATTATATAATATTTTTTCCCAAAATTTAATTTATATTTGATTCCTTTCTATTTAGCTCTTGCTGACTTTTTTTTAAATGTAAGCTACGAATTTAGTGCAAAAACATTTTGATAATAAGAATCATATATGGGAATTATTTGAAGCAAAAATGTTTCTGGGAGCACTGTCGGGGAGGTTGTATTCTTAGAGAAATGTCCGACAATGTCATCGACCGGTCCATACATGCTCCAAATTGAAATAAACAAATGTAAGAAAGGGGGCATATCACCTTCATGTTTGAAAAAAGAATGTAGAGGAACCAAACTGAAAGGTAGATCCAGCACTCACTCACGCGCGTCGGTATCCCCCCCCCCTTTCGAGTTTTTTCTTTTTATTTTTTTGGCTTTCGTAAATTACGTTTGCTAAACTTGTATACACTTTTAATTTATCAACACGAAACGATCACGCACATATAGTGTCAGGCCTGATTATGAATCTACCCCCCCCCCCCCCCCACGAAACCCCCGATATTCCAGTTAGGACATTTTTTTTTCGAAGAAAACCATTTGTGTACTGCCCCCACTCTCTCCTTTCTAAAATCTTTGAATCCGCCACTGGTAACTTTACGTTGTAAAATTCTATTCTTAATTCATCTCAAATTTTGAATAAGTACTAACAGCGCTATCTTACGATTTGATTGATTCTTATGTCTATATCATTTAAGATACGGATTCAGTTTTCCGTCATCGCTAAAAATAAATCATACTGTATCGTTGATATTTTGCAGATACAGAACAGATTCTGCTCATTTGCATAAGAAACGCCTACTAAAAGTGTTCTGTATCGCAGTTATTGTACGGCTGACTTCAAAGGAAAACTCGCCGGGTCATGTCACAATGTGAAGATAAAAGATACTCATTGCTCGAGGCTACATATGTACCTGGTTACGATAAATGAACCCATATTTCCGTCAGTAATCATACATGTACATTGTACTGAGGTTAGCATTATATAAAAAGACCATGTGACGTATCTTATTTGTTTATCTTGTGCAAGCTGTACACGTACTAAAATGCTGACTCGAACATTCTGTGTCAGTGTGTATAACGGAGTTGCCTGTCCATTAAAAAACCCACACTTTTAATAAATGAAAAAATATATAAATTAATTAATAGGTATATACATAAATATATATTCATATACAGGAAAATAATTTTGGAAATAACACCTATGTATTTCGAAAAACACTTGCATAACAACAGTCAACACCTTGTGGATGTCATAACGGAACAACGTGTGGTAGTTTATTTTAAGACATGACAGATCATGTGCTAGAAAATTCTACACCAATAAAACCACGAATATTGAGATCACATGATCATTCCCTATAAATAAAGAATGTCCCGGATGTCAGACAGAACATAACGAAGGGTGAATAGAGAACAGATTAAACTCGTGACAATATATATGTACATTTTATCTAACAAAGGTAAGAGGAACTTTTGTTTTAATATTTAGTAAAGGTTTTTGGTATTGGGCTATTGAAAGGTTGTTCTTGTGCTATTTTTACTGAAAAGAATGGTGAGGTTGAAACATTAATTTCCTGATTTGTTCGTAGCCGCCATTTTGAAATCACAAAGGATTTTACAAACAAAATGTTTTTTTCTTGTTTATTAATAATTTGGGATAGTTTTATCTTTTAATAGGAATTTAGACCGAATTGATTTGAGAAAAATAATATATAAAAATCATGTTGAATCCTCAAGTGAAATGTTTATCGATGATGAGTGACGTAAGACTAACCAAAATAAAATATGTATGTGATAAAATTTCATAAACATAGGTAATCAAAGATTACGAAGCTCACCTCGACGAATGTTATCTACATGTAAGGCGAATTTCACATCATATTTTTTTTCTAGTTAGGGTACATCCCAAGATCAATGTCCATGCAAGTTTGATTTAATTATAGACCTGCTCAAAAAACTTTTGACCTGTTTAGTAATCAAGAAAATTTTGGTCACTTCCAACATCCAAAGCAAGTCTGGAAGTTTTCATTCTTAGATGCACCATCTATGCAAGTTTAATCATAACAGGCCATAATATTATATAGCTACTCCAAAAAATTACCCTGGTCACTCATCTGGAAAATGTACATCAGATTCAGAATACAAGGCAAGTCTGGAAGTGTCCATCCCTAGATACATCATCCATGCTAATTTGGTTAAAATATGGCTAAAATTCACTCATGTGGAAAATCTAGGTCAGATCCAGCATTTGAAGCAGGTTGGTTAGTGTACATCCCTAGATGCATCATCCATGAAAGTTTGGTCCAGGTAGGGCTTATAGTTACTTGGAAACGAGACTACTCCTAAATCTAAACCTGGTCTCACATGTGGAAAATCTAGGTCACATCCAGCATCCGAAGCAAGTGTGGTAGTGTCCATCCCTGGATGCATCATCCATGCAAGTTTGGTCCAGGTAGGGCTTATAGTTACTTGGGAATGGACGTGCTCCTAAAACTTTAACCTGGTCACTCATCTGGAAAATCTAGATCAGATCCAGCATCCGAAGCAAGTGTGGTAGTGTCCATCCCTAGATGCATCATCCATGCAAGTTTGGTCAAGGTAGGGCTTATAGTTACTTGGGAATGGACCTGCTCCTTAAACTTTAACCTGGTCACTCATCCGGAAAATCTAGGTCAGATCCAGCATCCGAAGTAAGTGTGGTAATGTCCATCCCTAGATGCATCATCCATGCAAGTTTGGTCCAGGTAGGGCTTATAGTTACTTGGGAATGGACGTGCTCCTAAAACTTTAACCTGGTCACTCATCTGGAAAATCTAGATCAGATCCAGCATCCGAAGCAAGTGTGGTAATGTCCATCCCTAGATGCATCATCCATGCAAGTTTGGTCCAGGTAGGGCTTATAGTTACTTGGGAATGGACCTGCTCCTAAAACTTTAACCTGGTCACTCATCCGGAAAATCTAGGTCAGATCCAGCATCCGAAGCAAGTGTGGTAGTGTCCATCCCTAGATGCATCATCCATGCAAGTTTGGTCCAGGTAGGGCTTATAGTTACTTGGGAATGGACCTGCTCCTAAAACTTTAACCTGGTCACTCATCTGGAAAATCTAGGTCAGATCCAGCATCCGAAGCAAGTGTGGTAGTGTCCATCCCTAGATGCATCATCCATGCAAGTTTGGTCCAGGTAGGGCTTATAGTTACTTGGGAATGGGACTTGCTCCTAAAACTTTAACCTGGGACGCCGACGCTAACGCCGACGCCGACACCGACGCCGACGCCGACGCTGTGGGTATAGCATAAGCTCATCTCGACTTCGTCGAGGTGAGCTAAAAACGAACAAAAATCTTCTATATACAGTAAATGTAAAATGACCTTTATTCGTCGTTGTTTTCATACGGGACGTATGACTTGGTCAAGTTGGGGGGGGGGGGTACTGAAAAGTTAAATTGCTTCAAACTTTGCATACATGTGATATGTACAGGCTGTACGCAAAATGTACAGTTTTTTGAGCCCATTCATCATGTACCGGCGGGACACCAAAATTCAGGGAATATGAAAATTTGTGCAGTATTTTTAATTTCTCGCTAAATGCCGCCATTTTCCTCTCATTCTCGCTCGCAAGACACTGAAAAACGTCACCTGTGTTTGACACTTGACCTTCTGATAATTGTGTAGTGTACACAAACCATCGCGTGCGAAGGTGTGAACTGCCAATTTGGATAATTATCTTGCTATAAATCCGTATCAAATATCCCTTTAGGTAGCTTTATTTTTTAAGGGGTACTTAATTACTGTTAATGTTTCGTATACGTAACTTGATTGAAAAAAATTCAGCCAACTTCGAAAGTTGATATACATGACTTTCGTCTTAATATACGTGAATCTGACCAAGATCTTCGTAGGTATAAAATATACGATGTTTATTACAATGATTACGATGGAATTTCAGAAGAATTTAAGCGATATTTTATACCATTTTTTTGTACCGTTTTTTGACAAGCAGTGTACAGTTTTTTCACCCAAATTCCAGTTTTTTTATGGCTCCTGTACAGTTTTGTGGTCTTTGACTTATCACATGTATGACTTTGTCACTTGATTACGTGTTATAATATAGCCATTCATTACACTTTCAGAAACATGCAGATCTTTGTGAAAACCTTAACTGGGAAAACCATTACTCTTGAGGTGGAGCCATCAGATACAATTGAAAATGTCAAGGCCAAAATTCAGGACAAAGAAGGAATCCCCCCAGACCAGCAGAGATTGATCTTCGCTGGAAAACAGCTGGAAGATGGTCGCACACTGTCCGACTACAATATTCAGAAAGAGTCGACTCTTCACTTGGTTCTGCGTCTTAGAGGAGGTATGCAAATCTTTGTCAAGACCCTCACTGGGAAAACCATCACTCTAGAGGTTGAACCATCAGACACTATTGAAAATGTCAAGGCCAAAATTCAGGACAAAGAAGGAATCCCCCCAGACCAGCAGAGATTGATCTTTGCTGGAAAACAGCTGGAAGATGGTCGCACACTGTCCGACTACAATATTCAGAAAGAGTCGACTCTTCACTTGGTACTACGTCTTAGAGGAGGTATGCAAATCTTTGTCAAGACCCTCACAGGAAAAACCATCACATTGGAGGTAGAACCATCAGACACTATTGAAAATGTCAAGGCCAAAATTCAGGACAAAGAAGGAATCCCCCCAGACCAGCAGAGATTGATCTTTGCTGGAAAACAGCTGGAAGATGGTCGCACACTGTCCGACTACAATATTCAGAAAGAGTCGACTCTTCACTTGGTACTACGTCTTAGAGGAGGTATGCAAATCTTTGTCAAGACCCTCACAGGAAAAACCATCACATTGGAGGTAGAACCATCAGACACTATTGAAAATGTCAAGGCCAAAATTCAGGATAAAGAAGGAATCCCCCCAGACCAGCAGAGATTGATCTTTGCTGGAAAACAGCTGGAAGATGGCCGCACACTGTCCGACTACAATATTCAGAAAGAGTCGACTCTTCACTTGGTTCTGCGTCTTAGAGGAGGTATGCAAATCTTTGTCAAGACCCTCACAGGAAAAACCATCACATTGGAGGTAGAACCATCAGACACTATTGAAAATGTCAAGGCCAAAATTCAGGACAAAGAAGGAATCCCCCCAGACCAGCAGAGATTGATCTTCGCTGGAAAACAGCTGGAAGATGGTCGCACACTGTCCGACTACAATATTCAGAAAGAGTCGACTCTTCACTTGGTTCTGCGTCTTAGAGGAGGTATGCAAATCTTTGTCAAGACCCTCACAGGAAAAACCATCACATTGGAGGTAGAACCATCAGACACTATTGAAAATGTCAAGGCCAAAATTCAGGACAAAGAAGGAATCCCCCCAGACCAGCAGAGATTGATCTTTGCTGGAAAACAGCTGGAAGATGGTCGCACACTGTCCGACTACAATATTCAGAAAGAGTCGACTCTACACTTGGTACTACGTCTTAGAGGAGGTATGCAAATCTTTGTCAAGACCCTCACAGGAAAAACCATCACATTGGAGGTAGAACCATCAGACACTATTGAAAATGTCAAGGCCAAAATTCAGGACAAAGAAGGAATCCCCCCAGACCAGCAGAGATTGATCTTCGCCGGAAAACAGCTGGAAGATGGCCGCACACTGTCCGACTACAATATTCAGAAAGAGTCGACTCTTCACTTGGTACTACGTCTTAGAGGAGGTATGCAAATCTTTGTCAAGACCCTCACAGGAAAAACCATCACATTGGAGGTAGAACCATCAGACACTATTGAAAATGTCAAGGCCAAAATTCAGGACAAAGAAGGAATCCCCCCAGACCAGCAGAGATTGATCTTCGCTGGAAAACAGCTGGAAGATGGCCGCACACTGTCCGACTACAATATTCAGAAAGAGTCGACTCTTCACTTGGTACTACGTCTTAGAGGAGGTATGCAAATCTTTGTCAAGACCCTCACAGGAAAAACCATCACATTGGAGGTAGAACCATCAGACACTATTGAAAATGTCAAGGCCAAAATTCAGGATAAAGAAGGAATCCCCCCAGACCAGCAGAGATTGATCTTCGCTGGAAAACAGCTGGAAGATGGTCGCACACTGTCCGACTACAATATTCAGAAAGAGTCCACTCTTCACCTGGTTTTGCGTTTGAGAGGTGGATTTTGAACTTTGAGTATTTAAACGTAAAATTATTGTTGTATTTTGCGGAACATTTTAAGAAAAAAGATTGAGAAGATTGAGAACTATTTTTACCAATATTTAATGCAGTCTCAAAATTTTTACAGGTATTAAAATTTTTCAACATAAATTTGAGTTTTAATTATAATGGCAAATAAAGGTTTATGCAAAGAATATTTATTTTTAACAGAGAATTTCAACTCGAAAGAAAACTGAATTTACAAGGAAGTTTGAATAAGTAGACTGCTAATTATCTGATGTCAAGAAATCGGAGAAAAAAATTGTGAAACGCGGATGCAATGGGTTCTGCTTTTGTAATCTCAAGTTGTAAAGAAAATGCATGTGTATTGTCAAGTGATGTCCTGATTAGGCTAATCTATTGAATCGATAACCTAATCAAAATTACCCAGGATTATGAATGATTGAGTATAATTTTCATGGTCGATTACTGCCGTAATAAAAATGTTACAATCATGTAGTTTAGTTAAAAGCAAATTATTCCTCTATGATGTCTTTATTCATTCTATTTTGAATGTAACTAAATCCTTACTAATAATAGCTCAACTGGTCAGAGACCAGGAGTTTGTGCCATAGTAAGGTGCCCATCTGCCTGTTTGTCTGTAAACAATATTTAGTTCACCTGAGGCTAAAAGATCTAATAAAAAAAATTTGTCCATTGTCGTCATCGGCATAAACTTTTTACAATTTCATCTTCTTCTCAAGATGGAACCACTGGGATAATTTCAACCAGATTTGGCACAGAGTATCCTTGGGTAAAGGAGATTTAATTTTGTTCAAATGAAGGGCCACACCATCTTCCAAGAGGAGATACTTAAGAAATGGTACAAATTGGGTGGGGTCATATAGAAATCTTAAGAACCACTGGTCAAGAAAATATGAAACATGTGAAAGATTCTTGACATAGTGTAGATTCAAGTTTGTTCAAATCATGACTCCTGGGGCAGAATGGGGCTAAGACTGGTAATCAAAGTATTGTATAGGAAAACAAAGGAAGAATCTTTTTCCAAATAAGGAACAGCAAAGTCTGAATTAGTCATATATTTTTATAGAAGCATTCTCAAGTAGTGTAGATTGAAGTTAACTTGAACAAATTGTCCAAGTCATGCCCCCCCCCCCCCCTTAGGATAGGGTGGGGCCACTCTGGGCAAACAAAGTTTCACACGGGTATATACAGGAAAAATCTGAGAAAATTTTCTCAAGAACAGCAAAGCCATGACCAGTTATATTTAAATAGAAACATCCTCAGGTAGTGTCGATTCAAGTTGTTCAAATCATGACCCCTCGAGGTAGGGTTAGTCCACAATGAGCAATCAAAGTTTTACATAGAAACACTTACGCAAAATCTTCTTTCACAGGAACAGTTAAGTCATGGTTAATAATCATATGGAAGCATCTTCATGTAGTAGAAATTCAAGTTTGTTCAAATCGTGACCCTAAGGGGTAGGGTATTGGGTGGGTCCACAATGGGCAATAGGAATACATATGAAAAATACTTAAAAATCTTTTTAAGAACAGGAAAACCTTAATTAGTTATATCTATATGGAAGCATCCTCAGGTAGTGTAGATTCAAGTTTATTCAAATCATGACCCCCACGAGTAGGGTAAGGCTACAATCGGTAATCAAAGTTTTACAAATGAATGTATGCGATGGGAAGAAGAATCTGCTGAAGGACAAGAAGGACCATATTTACCCAGGTGAGCGTTGTGGCCCATGGGCCTCTTGTTCAAAATGCTTCTCCCCCTACAGTTTTAGTCCAGTTTCAATATAACTTGGTACATAAGTAGACTATAAAAGTAGACTACACTGAGATACACAATTCTATCGGTTTTTGATTTCAATGATGTTGCCATGGATACTAAAATGATTTTCTGTGAAATCCTTTCAAAATGCTACTACTCCTACAGTTTTAGTCCGATTTCAATATAACTTGGTACACCCAAAAAGCAAGAGGACATTGGCCCAACAATGTTGGTTATGTTGGGTCAATGTTGGCAATTTACATTGGCCCAATTTCCTTTTTCTCATCGGCGCGCCGTTGGCCCAACATGTTGGGCCTTTGTTGGTACAACACTGTTTGTTTGTATGTCAACGTTGGTACAACGTTATTCCAACATGCATATCAATGCCAACTCAATATTTTGTAACTTTGGTCCAACGTTGGGCCTCAGTTCAGGTTTTTCCATTCCGCCAATTCCTATAAAAGTTCAGTACGTCATCAATTTAAATATATTTTTCAAATGTTTAATCATTACTGATTATATCAAAGCTTGCAGGTTATTATAATTTTAAAACACACAATTATATGCACACGTAGACTACACTAAGATACATATACATAATATTTTGAATATCATTTTGTGATTTCAAGGAACGTTATAATTGTCATGGTTACTTAAAATAGAAACTTAAATTCGTTCAAAATGCTACTCCTGATAGCCTAGAGTTTTTGTCCAATGGCAATTAGAATTGACTCAGAAAGAGACTAAACTAAGGATCACTATAATTTTATTTATTGCTGTTGCCATAGTTTCGAGTTCTAGTTTTACCTTTCTCTACCCTTGTTTATTAAAGCTATATACACATGGCTTATCTGAGCTAAAAAAAAAAATAAAAATACGAAATTAAGTGTAGATAAACATGATATATGTTATTTACGTTCAAATTAAAATTTTCTTAAATAACTTCATGTTTCCATAGTTAGATTGACGTTAAATCGTGTCTATTATTTAAATGCGGAGTCGGTAAATAAATCGGTTATTGTTTTAAATTTCTAATATCTTTGAAACGCAATTGATTTAAATTGTGTAATTTACAGGAAAGTCCCATCTTTATATAAAATAATAAAACAAATAGAAAGATCTTTTTAATTTTAATTAGTCTGAACTTATAAAAAATACGCCATATATGACTTTAAAGGCAGAGATTTTAAGCACCGCCTTCCAAAATACCTGGTCTGTGTACCCCTGTCAATCAAGTGCATTAAGGTACATCATTGGGTGCTAGAACTTGATTGACATTTACTTACTAGTCCCTGTGTATACGCTGTACACATTTTTTGGCACTCGTGGTGACCTTCAAATTAACATTTGATCCTTTGATATTTACCACACATGGTATAAACAATAGAGAAGCTGTATTACTATAGAATATTTAGCTTGATAAAATATATATACACACCTTTAGTATTTAAAATAATTAATATGATATTCTTTGTGATAATATATATCAAAATTTGGTATAACTTTTTTTTCAAAGCTCAACAAATATTTTGATAATTAAATTTTTTTTAATGGGTGGGGATGCTTTGACACACATTCAAGTACAATTAATAAAAATTATTTAGGTTAAACTTTATTTACAACTTTTTATTTCTAACTTAAAATCATCTCAAAATCCCAACATAGGTAAAGTTTGACTTCTTAGGTACTCCACTGTGTATTAAATCACTTCCTGTGTATAGGGATTAGGAGAAAGACGACCACAGGTAGTCTGCTAGCCCTCAAGGCATTCACACCTGTACAAAATAAGCCCCTCCCTCACCTGGAATTTACCACCCGGTAAAAAATCTCTGCCTTTAAGTAAAAACCATTAGAACTACAGTCTCATCAGAGACTTCTAGTTTAAAAGATGAATTCAATGTACAAAATACTAGTACATCAAGATTGAATTTTAAAAAAAGTTTCAATTGCCCATCACTATTATGTCTACCACACACAATTGTGTGCGTAAAGGGGGGGGGGGGTATTGCCTACCACACAATTGGTTTTTTTTTGGTTGTTGAGGGTTTGGTTGGGGTGGTGTTTATTGTCTACCTCTAAACACACACAATTGCGGGGGAATTGGTTACAAGTGCATGCTCATGTCATCAACAATAGAACTATTCAGTATTTTCTGATTTAAACCGTTGCATACCTTTTATTCATTTCATATTGATTTGATATAAATCAAGAGGTTTCATTCTAAAGCAGTGTAAAGGATTGTGATATGTGAAATTTTCTATTATTTATAAATGAAAAGTGTAGAAACACTTTGCACAAAGTGTGCATGATATGAGTTTACTGATGTGCTCAAATTTTGAAACCAATTAATATCATTTAAACAAGATTACACGTTCAGAGTTGGAAGTCCATATATAATACAGCTGCTTTTAAATGGAGAAAGTTTGTAGAAGCTTATTCTTTGTTCTAAGGTTGCTTTGGATGTGACATGACATACATGTACTGGAAAAAAAAAACAACAAAAAACAAAAACGTGGGCCATAGGTTCGAGCGAACTTTTCTCATAAAAGTGCAGTATGGCATTCATCCGTCTGTTGTCATTTGTGTTGTGTTTTCTGTGAACTATTCACATTTTCAATGTCTTTTCTAGAATCAATTTCAACAAAACTTGTCAAAAAGCATCCTCGGGCAAAGGGGACTATTCACATATAGGACCACGCTCTCTTTCAAGAAAATATGATAAATTTAGAAATAGTGTACATGTGTTAATTAAATTTTTCAAAAGACCTCTGTATACAAGAAATGTGAATGCTTCTGTATATATAAAATGCAGATTTAAATTTGATCATTGAAATGAAGGATGAGGTCACAAAAGGGAACAAGGTTTTACATTTTTAAATATATTCCAGTCATATATAGGAGTCATGATTAGTCATATAAATGGTAGTATGATAGCTTCATCGGGTAGCCCAGATTCAAATTTGTTCGAATTGTGGTGAGGCGGCGCCCCAATAAAAGATCAAAGTGTTACATGGATAAACATGTATGTAGGGAAAGAAAAATCAAGAACTTACCAATAATTAGTAATATTAATTTCCAATCAACCTCAGATTCAATTTTGATCACATTATGAATCATGACCCTGAGGGGTAGGATGGGGACACAGTAAGAGATCCCATAGGGTAATGTGGGCAATTATATGAAATCACAGTTTTTCATCAAAATATGTAGGAAAAATCTTTTCGAAAACAATTAAGCAAAAATCCCAAGATAGAGCTAATTCAATTGCACAAGGTTAAAGTTTGGTCACAGTTAAAGGATCACCGATTCACAGGTTACATATTGGGGGAAAAAACTCTTTTGAATTCCTTTTCTCAAAGAGCAATTTAGTTATGAAACATATTTTAAAAATATGCTATCAATCATATTGTATTCAATGCAGATTCAAAATAATTCAATTTATTGCCCCTAGGGCTACAGTATTCAAAATTTCACATAGGAGTATCAGGATGACCCTTGATCATAGTGATGTGCAAACAATCTCACATCCAAAGTCAGGCACATAGCATTTTTCTAGGGGGAGGGCAGAAAAATAATTGAAAACTCACATGAAAAATCTTTGACAAGCCAAAAAAAAAATCATTTTGCGAAATACTGAGAATCCTATTTCGTGGTGTTGCTGGTGGGAGGATGGGTGAGTGTTTCGGTTCTATATACTTTTTCCATCAAAAAAATACCAGAGGAGAATTTGACTATGCTACGACTAAAATGGGGGAGGGGGGGGGCAACTAGTCTTTTAATGAACATTTCATATTTAATCAGCAGTAAAAAAATATGTTTAAAACAATGTGGCGGGCCAGGCCCCTTCCCCCCGATACTACGTGTCTGCGAGTTTGTTCAAATTATACGGACACTTGCGTTACGTAGGATCTGACTTAACTGAATTGGGGATCGAATTTAAAGAAAAGAGGGAAACATTTTTATCAAAAAATCTTCTCCAGAATAGTAAAGCCACAATTACAGTCACATTAATATTCCAAATCCCTATCGGGGAGGTAACATTATTTTTCAAAGTTTTGGTGTTGGAAGGGGAAAAGAGGGGAGGGGTGAGAGAAATAAAGACCAAAAACCACCCGATATACCCTGACAAGCAAGAAAGAAAGCGAACTGACCAGTCCAAAGTTGATAAACCTATTATTTGTATTTGTATGTGTATTTTTTTGGGGGGTGGGGGTGTGTGTGTGTGTGTGTGTGGGGGGGGGGGGGATGGGGTCTTCTCTCTTAATTTTCGAAAATAAAAAAAATTAAAAAAAAAAACAAAAAACAAACAAAAAACAAAACAAACCAAACCGAAAAAAGCAAACAAAAAAAAACAAATGAAAGGGGATCGGCCTTTAAAAAGAAAATTTACATACTTAAAGCAATTTACTTAATACATTGTACATAATATGTGAAATAATTAATGAAAAATTTTGTTGCTGGATATTTGTGGATAAAAGGGCTAGGTTTGTGAAATCTCTTACTTGGAAAGTCAAACATTTTTTGCCAACTTCTTAACTAATGTTTGCAGGGGTGTAGCTAATAGTAGGGACATCAACAAAATTTAGCCACTTTTAAATATAAAAATCTACCTTAGTTAAGGAGACTCAAATTTGGAGGGGGGGGGGGGCAAACCTGCTGAATTTTATTGCACAAGTAACTAGTTATAATTGTAACGGGGACCGTTACAGATGTTCCCCAAACGCTCCCCAACTCCCTTTTGGTGACTTTTTTCCTGTAAGCTTCATTAAATAAGGCAATGAAGTATATTGGTCATTTTTTGCATTTCACGCGAGCGCACGTGCATGCATGTGCAGGATGACCAAGTCATCCCGTCTATACTATATATGCATCTTTATATTCTCAGTATCAAAACATTTCATCAAAAAATATATAAGTTCCGGCTAAATCAAGCATATTGGTCATCTTAGCATTGCGCGCACGCGCACATGCATGCATGTTCATAATGACCATGCCATTTTGTGTACACTTATAATATGTCTGTTAATTCATAGTATCAAAGCTTTTCATCAAAAAATATAAAAGTTACGGCTATATTAAGTATATTGGTCATTTAACACATTGCACGCGCGCGCATGTGCATGCATGTGCATCATGGCCAAATCATCTTGTCTACACTTTTAATATATATATATATTCTTAATATCAAAGCTTTTCATCAAAAAATATAAAAATTACGGCTATATTAATTATATTAGTCATTTAACACATTGCACGCGCGCGCACGTGCATGCATATGCATGCATGTGCATGATGACCATGTCATCTTGTCTACTCTTTCTATATATATAAATATTTTGAGTATCAAAGCATTTCATCAAAAAGTATAAAAGTTACGATATTATCAAGTAAATTGGTCTTTTTACGCTTTGCGCGTGCGCGCACGCGCATGCATGTGCATGTTGACCATGTCATCTTGTTCACACTTTTAATATATCCTTATATTCTGAGTATCAAAGCATTTCACCAAAAAATATAAAAATTACAGCTATATCAAGTATATTGGTCATTTTACCCATTGCACGCGCACGCACGTGCATGCACGTGCGCGCAAAATGACCTTTGTTCCGCAAATCTACATAACATGCCTATTAACCCTAAAAAGGTTTTAACTCAATTGGTTGAGCAGTTTCCGAGAACACTCGCGGAAAAGTACCGGAGAAGAAATAAGAAGAAAAAAGAATAATAATAATAATAATAATAATAAGAAACAGAGTAAAAACAATATGTTCCCAAACTCCGTTTGGGGAACATAATAACATCTGTGTACATCTGTGCACGAACGAATAAATTCTCTCGGTCGAAGATGTTCCCTTGAAGGAGAAAAAAATCGTACAAAAATTAATGTATAAATTTAATGAAATGTTGCCTTTGTATTCCACCGTAGAATTTGATCCAAATTATTATTGTAGTGAATTACATAGATTTGAACAGAATTATAAATCTTTTATTAAAAAAAAAAAACTAACATGCAATAACACACCACTGACACTGACCTAATACACAGATTCGTGAGTCTGAATATCTGTTGATATGCCGGAAGTGCGCAAGTGCACGGAGAGACTAGACAATCCATGAATGAACTTTAATAGGAAAGTGGGACACTTTTGAATGATAAAATAAAGACAAAGTACAGGTAAAATATGTCTGTAGATATCTGTAGATGTACTATGATCTTTTTGTTTTATGTTTAATCATATACTAGTATATACCTCGCATGCAATATATTTTAGAAATCTTCACGGCATTGTGTATGGAGGCCTAGCCGGCACAGACAATGTTTTAAAGTGACATGTCCCAGGTAAAAATAACCGTGGACCCAAAGGAAGCTCTAGTTGATGAAAGAGTTCACATCCAAGTGGAAGGTCTACCCCAAAATAAACCCGTTACTATTAAAGCCTCATTTCAGGAGGAAAGTCTGAGATTCTGTTCCTATGGATGCTTTACCTCAACAGAGGGAGGTCACGTGATGGTGGAGAGGCAGGCTCCGGCACAAGGAACGTACACAGGTTCGTAACACTTTAATACGGGGTGCTTCTATGTTGTCTATAATTTAAAATTTGAATGATAATAGAAAAGAATCTGTTTATACTTCCCTGTAGGTTTCTGATTAAGCAGTTGTTTTAAAAAATAAATTTTAATCCGTAAAATCAGGGACCTATATACTAGTATATAGGTCCCTGATAAAATACACATCGAAAAAGTACACTACGACGTCAAAATGCGCTAATTAAGACTCTTTAATAAAAACATCTTTGAATTTGATCCGCTTTACAATTTAAATTTTAAATATAAACCATTACAACATGCATTATTGCATATTTTCGTAGGTGTAGAGCCAATGGGCTTATTTTGGAGTATGAAGCCCGAACCTTCCCAGAGACAACAAATAAGATTCCAAAAGGGAAATGTCACAACACCCATAATTGTGACACTTGCTGTGTTTGAAGGAAACCTGTGCTGGGATGAGCTCTTTGATCCGCCCAATAAACCCTTAGCCATATCGAAAGTTTACAGATGGTACAAACACAAGACTGTTCGAAGAGAAAAAGTGAGGGAAGGAAATATAAGGGGTGTGCTTTTCACTCCTTCAGGTATCTAATGTGATTTATTAGGATTTTAAAAAAAATAAATACACACATGCATACACTGAAACATATGTATTTTTTTCCTTCTGTACCGCGCCCCGTTGATCCAATAATACCAATTCTTCCTATGAATAATAATCTGAAAATTTTTAGAATTCGCTTAAAGAAGAAAAACTGAAATGATATTTCATTAATCATTACAGGGCCTGGACCGTTTCCCGGTGTAATTGACCTGTTCGGTAGCGGAGGAAGTCTTTTTGAACACAGAGGAGCTCTGCTGGCTTCTAGGGGATTCTGTGTTCTCTCCTTGGCCTTCTTCGCTTACGATGATTTACCTAAGTTCCTGACTGATGTCACATTAGATTATTTCATAGTAAGCTATACAGCTGAAAGTATTACACATTTTTGAGAATGCTTTGAAGGGGCATTAGTTGTAAAAGTGATGGCAACCAATTTTTCTCAAAATCTCTCAATTGCGTAGGAATATTATTAATGACCAATGACCAAACCTTAGTTTGAACAAAAACAAGAGAAACCGTATTGTAATACTTTGAAATACTACGTTAAATAACCGCTTTTAGTGTAACTAAAAATACAAAAAACAATTATTTACTTGAATGACAATAATCAATCAGACAACCAAAAATAACAAATATGAGGTTTAAAAATTTTTGAAATCATAAAATACTATTGTCATTAAAGAAATATATATGCTGGAGCAATTTTCTAATAATTAAATTGTTGAGAAAAATTATATAAAAATTATAATTATATTATTTTTCAAAGAGAGTAATTCAAAATCTTTTATTATTTTCCTGGTAAATTTAGGAGAGCGCTGAATGGTTCAGTAGATTACCGGTAGTGATGTCATCAGGTGTAGGGGTCATATCACTGTCAAAAGGTGGAGAATACGCTCTAGAAATGACTCGACATTCCTCTAAGGTACTGAAATATTACAGCATGGAGAAAAAAAATGTCTAAAACTATCATTAATTCTGCTTATTCATTAGATTTTCTTTGAAATGTAAAGTTATTTGATAAAGTTACAAATTAAAAATATTTTTCATCGTTTAGGTGAAAGCAGTAGTTCTTGTAAACGCTGTTCCATTTTACTCAGACGTGCCTCTGAAATACAGCAAGGGCGACATACAATGTATCGAGTATGCGGATTTAGTTTTCTCATACAGTTTTCTAAAAAGTTCACGCTTAACATTTGATACATATATGAACTATAGTAATGCAGATAAAAATGTTCTTTTTTCAGATTTTTATTTAATGAAATTAAAAGAACACCCAATGGAATAGATACAATAGGATGTAATCAGCCTTCTGACGATTTCTATATCAAGGTAAGATAATGACTGGAGTCATGATTTGGGCCTTGCCGTACAAATACTAGTATTTTCTGGCTCTAACTTCACCCATAGAGTGCTTTTGGGTAGAGTGTGCAGTGACCTTGAGAACCAATTTTCTTGATCAAAATTCAATGTAAAAAATCTCTGTGTAAAATCTTTGAAGAATACATTCTCTTCCCTTGTTCCTATATGGCTCATATTTCACCCATAGCGTGCCTTTTGGTTGGGGTTTGCAGTGACGTTGAACCAAGATTTCAAGTTAGAAGTTAAGGTCAAAGCAAATATCTGTGTGAAATCCTTGTTATGAACATGCATGTTTATATTTTCTTTCACTTTTGCCCGTACTTCACCTATTGCGTGCTTGTTGGTAGAAGGTATGCAGTGACTTTTTACCAATGTTTTTGTATCAAAGGTCAAGGTAAAATAGTACCATTGTGTAAAATCCTTGCCTAGAGATCTGCATCTACTCTTGGCTCTGTCTGATTCATACTTTACTCATAGGTACTTGTGAGTTAAAGTAAAGCAGTATCCTTGTACAAGTTTATAGGTCATAATAAATCTCTGAGTGAAATCCTTGTCATTAATGTATTTACTCTCCTTTTGTTCCCATCTAGCTCATACCTCATCCAAAGAGGTCCCATGGGTGTATATGGGAGTAAAACTTCAACCTTTACAAGTCTTTTCAATAGGACTGATGTTCTTTACTAAAAATGGAACCCTTTGAGATGGTCACCATCTCAATGATATCTAATTAGTATTATGTTTTCCTGTATAAATGAAGATTTAATCAGATTCTAGATATATCATTTATCACCACAGGTATGGACCAGTCCTGCCTCTGTGCTTTGCATTGTGGGAGAAGATGATCATATTCTAAATCCAAAACTTACTGAGAGATTTATTGAACTTGTACCAAAAGAACACAAACATCGATTCCAGATGATTAAGTATCCTGGGGCGGGGCACCTGATAGAACCGCCTTATGTACCACACTGTAGATCCTCCCGACATAATATATTTGGTAAGATGACGTCACAAAGAATCAGCAAAGATTTTAACTATTAATAATGTAAAAGATTAAACTAGTACTATATTTATCTTAGCTGTAAATATAAATGGTCAATGTATGATACGATGTAGTTTTTTTTTCGAATGCAAGTGCATGAATGTTTCTTTTATAAGTTATTACAAGATTTCAGTGCGGATAAACAATTGTTTGCTTAAATTGAACATAAAAATGATTTATGTCATAAATCTTTGAATAAATTAGCAAATTTTGGAGTTTACAGGATATAACGGGATACTTTTGTTTAGGATCTACATAATTGGATGAAGGATAAAATCTAATTAAAAAGGACGCATTTTAAAAATTCATTTTTTAAAATTAATTCTTCATTATCTATAGTCTGTTGTGAAGTTGTCTTCTCTCACGAAATGAAGGAACTAGAATCGAAAGAATTGGTGGATATTGTTCCTATTTTGAAAAATGCCTTTCTTAAAAAAATACATTATCTAATTTTCTCTGCCCAATAATGTCATAATAATTTCATTATGGTACATTTAAAATCAGTTTTGGATTGACTTTTATGTTCGACATCTTTTTATGAATTTTTAAAAATAATTTGGATTCTCCAATACATACATGAACATATGCTTGTAGATTCATGCATGTGTATGAATCATTTTCTGTTATCTACAGATAAGTTTTTTAACCGAGTATCTTAACAAATGAATTGCAACATAAATTCTATGGTTACAAAAGTAGTGTCAAAACTGCTATAAAATCTTTTAAAAATGGCAAGTTATCAACAAGATTTTATGTATTTATACCTATATCTTTTTTAATCCTTTCCTATAATTTCATTCAGATATATGCAAAACTTTTTAAAATATTAAAATAAACACTTCTCTTCTATCACCAAAGTGCAAGAATGTTCCCGAGGTGGTTTTGACTTTACCTTTCGGCATTCATTTTCAGGTCATCCAGAAATCTTGTAAATGGTTTTTACGCAGTGTCAAGAATTGCTACTAACAAAAAATGATACTTTTAATTCGCTTTCAGCTTACACTTCTAGTAGAGTTCTGATAAACATGTAGTGTTATATATGAAAATAAATGGTTTTTACTCACCAATAATGTTGTAACAGAAATAAATATTATTCCAAAGCTATTCATACATTGACCAGCCATTATATTCGGGAATATCATTGATTTCTGCCTTGTCCCGTTGTAGCAGAAAAATACCTTCTACAAAGATTTTTCTTGAAAAAAAAATATTGAAAAATCTTCCCACAGCTCTTCGAAATTTCACAGGATCGTTCTATTACATCACATTTAGACGTAACATTTTTGTTGTCAACCTCTGTTTAGAGAATGAATACGGATATCCATTGAAATAAAGGTCTTATAAGGTGTCCAAAGTAAAGAAATTTTAGTTTACGGCAATTTCAATAGAAAAAAAATTGAAAATTTTATCAGCAAATTAAAAGATTTGATTTGTCATACACTGAGTACTTTTAAACAACTACTTGTAGCCGAAAGATAATGAAAATTTTCCAAATTTTAAGTTTCTAATTAACCATCTTCCGTGTCCTGCAGACGTGTCCCGATATGTAAATGGCGTCATGTCAAATATATATATTTTAGTTAATAGCTTATTAATTTATTTCGAATCCAAGAGGAAATTTTTTTTTAAAATTCATATCAGTGGAAAGTACTTAAAAATTACTTTCCGTACATGTAGCTTTCAACCAATCTTGAAGTGAATAAGAAAATTAATTACAAAAAAATCAAAATGTGTTGCTTGTTAAAATGACGTCTGACGTTCTTACAATGCACGGCTCAAGGTTGTACGTCAGTGTGTATTTCCTATTAATTTATTTACATATTTTTGTACCCTTCAAACTTAGCATGTTATTTTGGATCAATATTGATTAATACGCCTGAGCCTCTCTTTCCTTACACTGCATTTTCTGTTGATTTTTTTTTTTAAAATGATCATCATGAAAAAATTATATTATACAAATAAAGTTATGTTTTTTTTTTTTTTTTTTTTTTTTTTTTTTTTTTTTTTTTACATCTATGCAAATGTAGGGTTTTCATAGCGTGACCTCACATGGAATAGAAAACACAATGAAGGAAAAATTAGAAACAATTCGTCTCGATGAACTGCTTTTCTGAAAAAAGGTATATTTACCCAAGGTTCTTTCTCCACAAATTACCATTTCTTTTACAAGATTAATTATTCTCTAAATACATATCTTAGACATCGAGAATCAAAAACTCTGACGTTACAACGTTGAGTAGCAATTCCTGACGTTGCATCTTTATTTTACGACACTCCCAACTTTGCTCGAGCGTCTAGTTTTGAGCTATTTAAAAATATTTTAACTTATTATCATTCATTTAGATATAGTGTAGAGGCGGATTCAAGAGGAAGTGGAGTGAAAAGCTCATCGTCCAAGCAATTTCTTCTTTCAAGTTCATGTATATGTCTATCTTTTGACTTCCATTTACATTGGTATTTTATGCAACTTTCATATCTTAATAAGGTTAATTATTTCCCTTCTTATATATGTTGTCAATGTTTTGGACGTCAAGTCTGGCGTTAAGTCGGGTTATCAACCTTTTCAATATTTCAACAGAGGAAGAAGAAGTTGAGTGGACGATTAGTCAACCCTTAATGCACATACTCTTGAATCTGAATTTACCTAAGATCTCCGTTAAAGGAATAGATACAGAAATAAAATTTGGACAAAGTTGAAAAAAATAATGCTTCAACTCATAGCAAGACACTTTTTAGCAAAATGGTACTTAAGATTATCTACCGGTAATAGAGGCATGCGAAAAGAAATTAACTGCTGAAAAGTAACGCCATATTGACGTTGGTAACATTTTTGCCGTGGGGCGAAAGACAAAAGCTAACTTTGTATTTATCTTCATATTTTTAAAAGTACTATTCATAACTGATTCATAAGTGAAAACTCATTTTAAGCAAAAGTCGAAATAGAAAGGGGTATTAGTATGTAAAATGGTGTTGATAACATTCGATTATTAAAGATTTTAAAGCATAACTGATTCATAAGTGAAAACTCATTTTAAGCAAAAGTCAAAATAGAAAGGGGTGTTAGTATGTAAAATGGTGTTGATAACATTCGATTATTAAAGATTTTAAAGCATAACTGATTCATAAGTGAAAACTCATTTTAAGCAAAAGTCAAAATAGAAAGGGGTGTTAGTATGTAAAATGGTGTTGATAACATTCGATTATTAAAGATTTTAAGGCATAACTGATTCATAAGTGAAAACTCATTTTAAGCAAAAGTCAAAATAGAAAGGGGTGTTAGTATGTAAAATGGTGTTGATAACATTCGATTATTAAAGATTTTAAAGCATAACTGATTCATAAGTGAAAACTCATTTTAAGCAAAAGTCAAAATAGAAAGGGGTGTTAGTATGTAAAATGGTGTTGATAACATTCAATTATTAAAGATTTTAAAGCATAACTGATTCATAAGTGAAAACTCATTTTAAGCAAAAGTCAAAATAGAAAGGGGTGTTAGTATGTAAAATGGTGTTGATAACATTCGATTATTAAAGATTTTAAAGCATAACTGATTCATAAGTGAAAACTCATTTTAAGCAAAAGTCAAAATAGAAAGGGGTGTTAGTATGTAAAATGGTGTTGATAACATTCGATTATTAAAGATTTTAAAGCATAACTGATTCATAAGTGAAAACTCATTTTAAACAAAAGTCAAAATAGAAAGGGGTGTTAGTATGTAAAATGGTGTTGATAACATTCAATTATTAAAGATTTTAAAGCATAACTGATTCATAAGTGAAAACTCATTTTAAGCAAAAGTCAAAATAGAAAGGGGTATTAGTATGTAAAATGGTGTTGATAACATTCGATTATTAAAGATTTTAAAGCATAACTGATTCATAAGTGAAAACTCATTTTAAGCAAAAGTCAAAATAGAAATGGGTATTAGTATGTAAAATGGTGTTGATAACATTCAATTATTAAAGATTTTACAAGCATGCGCAGTTACTGTAGTGACATTATTTTGGATCAAGGGATCTCGTATATGCTTTGTGTGACTGTGTAAATAATTCAGTGTGCTGTTTCTGAAATTCATTGACTTTTCACCTTACCTCGATGAAGTCGAGATGAGCTTATGCGACAACCTGGTGTTGGCGTCCCGGTTAGAGTATTAAGGAGGCTGGGGGGTCAACAAATTAACCATCAGATATAACTTATTAGTCACCTACCGGTGAAACCGGAGGGGACTATAGGTTTCCTCTGAGTCTGTCCGTCTGTCTGTCCCTCCGTCTGTCTGTCCCTCTGTCTGTCTGTCAGTCTGTCTCACTTGGTTTTCCGCACTTTTTTCCTAAACGCTTGCAGATATTGAGCTGATTTTTGGTATGTGAGTGTATCTTGATGAGTTACAGATCAAGTTTGCATTTCGTTCCGCTTCATTGATTTTTGACGGAATTACGGCCTTTTCAATTTTTACGGGTTTTCCGCAATTTTCTTCTAAACGCTTGTAGATATTGAGCTGATTTTTAGTATGTGGCCTAACCTTGATTAGTTATAGATCAAGTTTGCATTTCGTCCCGCTTCATTAATTTTTGACGGAATTATGGCATTTTCAATTATTAACGGGAACCAGATTACACTTGCCGGTAGGGGACTAGTATTGCTAATGCAATACTCTCAGAATGCTTGTTAGTCCCCTACCGGTGAAACCGGAGGGGACTATAGGTTTTTTTTTAGATATGATATCTTAAGCTGTCAACTGTCATTTGGCAAAGAAAAAATTCATACATTTTAGTTTTAAAATTTGATCATTTTTGTATATCTTTATATGGAGCTCTTCTTCTAAAGGAGATCAATATAGTCTAAAAATGGCCACGACCACCCAGCCCTCTTAAGAGCAGGTCTCATTCCCAAGTGATATTAAGCCTTACCTGGACCAAACGTGCATTGATCATGCATCATGTGATGTACATGCGCACTGTCTGACTCGCTTCAGATGCAGGATCTGACCTTCATTTCCCGTATGAGAGACCAAATGAACTTTTTTAGCAAGTTAGTGTTTAAGAAGCAGATTTCATTCTTAGTAATTATAAGACCCATGGTGACTAAATTTACGTACATGGGTGATGCATCAGACTGGCTTTGAATGCTGGATCAGACGTATATATTCCAGATGAGTGAACAGGTTAAGGCCAATGGATCATGTTCATTCCCAAGTAACTGTAACCCCGTCTAGACTAAACTTGCATGGATGATGCATCCATGGATGTTCTCTTCCAGACAGACCGGATACCTGATCCGACCATATATGTTCTTGATGAGTAACCAGGTTAGAGTATATGGAACAGGTTTATCTATCCTCAAGTAACGATAAACCCTATGGCGACCAAACCCACATTGATGATGCATCTAGGGATGAAATGTATCAGACTGGCTTCGCATGCTTGATTTAACATACATTTTCCAGATGAGTGAACAGGTTTATTTTTTTGAGCATCATCTTTCTCAAAGAAATGTTAGCCCTACCTGGACCAAAGTAGCATGGTTGATGCACCTATTGATGAACTCTTCCAAACTTGCTTGAGATTCTGGATCTAACTTACTTATTACGTATGATGAACGGGTCCTACTTGGACCAAAACTTCCATGATGCATCAAGGGATGCGCATTAACAAACTTGGTTCGGATGCTGAATCAGACCTAATTTTATGGATGAGTAAACATATTAATGATTTTGGAGCAGTTTCTTTATCAAATAACTGTAAGCCCTACCTAGACCAAACATGCACACTAATTATTGATGCACACTTCAGACTGCGTTGGACCCTGGATCTAACCTTTATTTTCCAGGTGAATGAACAGGTTAAAGTTTTTGAGCTGGTCCATTCCTAATTAAGTATATGTCGTATGGTGACTAAACATGCATTGATGATGCTTGTTACTAGGGATGCACACTACATTATTGCTTTGGAAGTTGGATCTGACCTACATTTACAGGGTGTTTAAACAGTTAAATTTTTGGAGAAGGTTCATTTGCAATGACTATAGATCTGACATGGAATAAACCTGTATAGATGTTGTACTGGTATCTAGGGATGCACACTATCAGAACATTTGTTTGATGTGATACTTTGCCTTACTTATAGATGGCATTCGTCGACATGGACTTTTTAATCTATGATCATCTTTTTTTCCTCCAGATGAGTACTTATGGTGGGGCGGGGAAACAAAAAGTCATAGCTACGCACAAGAAGATTCGTGGTGGCAGATCTTGCAGTTCTTCTCTACTCAACTTAAATCCGAAACCGACGATCAATATACATGTAGTAGTAAATTATAATTAATGCTCTGTGATGTTTTCTTTTGTATTTTGGTATGACATTTTTAGGTCACCTGAGTCACTCAGGTGACCTATTGCTATCCGTTTTCGTCCGTCGGCGTGCGTCGTGCGTCGTCCGTTAACTTTTGAATATTTTTAACTTCTCCTCCAGAACCGCTTAACCAATTTCAACCAAATTTGGTATATAGCATCTATGGGTGAAGGGGAACAAAAATTGTGAATTTCATGGTCCCTGCCCCCCTGGGGCCTGAGGGGTGGGGCTAAAACCACGAAAATTAATGCAATCTTTAAAAAACTTCTTCTTTACTCCTGGACATCAAGCAGTCAAACTGTTGGCATGATTGTAATAAGCATTGAACCCTCTACCAAAATTGTGAAATTCGTGGCCCCAGGGTCAGGGGTTCTGGTGCTAGGGTGGGGCTATATAGATCATATAGTGAAAGTGCATTATTTCTTTGAAAATCTTCTCTGCTCCTGGGTATCAAATAAACAAATTAAGTACATAGGTATGAAGGACAAGAGTGCCTCTTCCAAAATTGTGAATTTCATGGCCCCAGGGTCAGGTGTTCTGGTGTTAGGGCGGTGCTCTATTGATTGTATAGTGAAAATGCATTAATTCTTTGAAAATCTTCTCTGCTCCTGGGTATTAAATAAACTAACCAAGTATATAGTTATGATGAGCAAGAGTGCCTCTTCCAAAATTGTGAATTTCATGGCCCCAGGGTCAGGAGTTCTGGTGTTAGGGTGGGGCTCTATTGATTATATAGTGAAAATACATTAATTCTTTGAAAATCTTCTTTTCTGCTTTTGGGTATTAAATAAACTAACTAAGAACATAGATATGATTAGCATGGCTGCCTTTTCAGAAATTGTGAATTTCATGGCCCCAGGGTCAGGGGTTCAGGTGTTAGAGTGGGGCTCTATTGATTATTTGCATTAATTCTTTGAAAATCTTCTTCTCTGTTCCTGGGTATTAAATAAACTAACTTAGTGCATAGTTATGATGAGCATGGTTGCCTCTTCCAAAATTGTGAATTTCATGGCCCCTGGGTCGGGGTGTTGGTGTCAGGGTGGGGCTCAATTGATATATATAGTGAAAATGCATTATTTCTTTGAAAATCTTCTCTCTCCTGGATATTAAATAAACTAAGTACATAGTTATGATGAGCATGGCTGCCTCCTCAGAAATTGTGAATTTCGTGGCCCCTGGGTGAAGGGTTCTGCTGTTAGGGCGGGGCTCTATTGATTATATAGGGAAAATGCATAAATTCTTTCAAAATCTTCTTCTCTGCTCCTGGGTATTATTCAAATAAAGAAAGTGCATGGTTATGATAAGGAAGAATGCCTCTTCCAAAATTGTGAAAATCATGGCCTCTGGGTCAGGGTTCTGGTGAAGGGGGGGGGGGGGCTCTATTGATTTTATAGTGAAAATGCATAATTTCTTTCAAAATATTTTTTCTACTACTGGTAATAAAGCAAAGTTCTTCTTCCAGAATTGTGAGTTCATGGCTCCTGGGTAAGATGTTCTGGTGTAAGGGGGGGGGGGGCTTTATTTATTTAATTATATAGTGAACATGCATTTCTTTGAAAATATTCTATGCTTCTGGGCATATTCGAGGCAAACAGAGTAAAAGTTTTAGTATGCAAGGGTATTTTTATCAGAGACCAATGTGAGAAGTAGTAATTTGGGATTAAAAATAGACATTTTGTTAATAGTCTGCATGGTAATAGTGTTAAATGGGGGACAGATAGATGCTATACCAATTATTCTGTTGATGCTTATCATACTATTTTTCTTACTTTTGGGCAACATTTAAAGCTTCATTTATCAGTTTATGGATCCTCTAAATTGTTGTATTGTACTCGGGTGACCATTAAGGCCATTGGGCCTCTTGTTTAATTTCTTAAAATGAAAGTACTTAGAAAAACAACGCAATTATACTGATCATGAAAATATAAAGGAAATGTGGACAAAATATGAAGACATTCTGTTATAAATATTTTAATCTTTGGTCTTTTTGTGCATTTAATAATAATTTTAACTGACAAATATTGTTAGACAGCTTATAAGCATTATTCCGTGCAAGTACAGTCAAACCTCGTTATCTCGAACTCAATGGAACCGAGAAAAATCTTTAACCTGACGATTCGAGATATCCAGGGTAAAATATTTAAAGAAGGGATTTGGGACTTCCAAACCAATTCGATATATCCATGGTATTCGAGATATCAATGTTCGAGATACCGACTGTGTATTGTTTTAGTGCATGTTCATTGCTTTAAAATTTTTCATCGGAAAACATTTTACCGTACCCCTACCTCTGCATTATAGATATTAAAAATAACATTATAAATATTAATAATAATAATTTGAAAAAGTTGAATTATCCTAACAGAGTAATGGAAGATAAATTGATAGCCATTCTGAATTGATAAAAAAACTAGAAATATGTCCATAGGACATGAATGCCCCGCCGAGGGTATATTAGTAATGCAACATTTTAACACAAATTGAGAAAAGTGAGGTCAAGGTCAAAGGAAAGGTCAAGGTGAAAATATTGATGCAGTTGAATAGCTTACATTAGTATGTATCAGCATATGAATTTTGACACAAATTTAAGAAAAGTGAGGTCAAGGTCAAATGAAAGGTCAAGGTAAAAAAAAAATGTTTATGCAGTTGAAAGGTTACATCGGTATGTATTAGCACATGAAGTTTGATAAAAGTATTATGAATGGTTTTAAAACTAAGCTAAACACTAATTAAAGAAAAGTGAGGTCAAGGTCAAAGGAAAGGTCAAAGTCAAAAAATATTGATGCAGTTGAATAGCTTTTATCAGTATGTATCAGCATATAAAGTTTGACACTAAAGTTTAACACTAAAGTGAGGTCAAGGTCAAAGGAAAGGTCAAGCTCAAAAAATGTTGATGCAGTTGAATAGCTCTCATCAGTATGTATCAGCATATGAAGTTTGATAACACTATCTTGAATGGTATCTTAAAAACTGAGCTAAAAACTTATTTAAGAAAAGTGAGGTCAAGGTCAAAGGAAAAGTCAAGGTAAAAAATATTGATGCAGTTGAATAGCTCTCATCAGTATGTAACAGCATATGAAGTTTGTAAAAAATTCTTGAATGGTTTCATTAAAACTGAGGTAAACACTAATTTAAGAAAAGTGAGGTCAAGGTCAAATGGAAGGTCAAGGTCAAAAATTGTTGATGCAGTTGAATAACTTACATCAATATGTATCAACATATGAAGTTTGATTACACTATCTTGAATGGTATCTTTAAAACTGAGCTAAACACTAATTTAAGAAAAGTGAGGTCAAGGTCAAAAAAGGTCAAGGTCAAAAAATGTTGATGTAGTTGAATAGCTCTCATCAGTATGTATCAGCATATGAAGTTTGATAACACTATCTTGAATGGTATCTTTAAAACTGAGCTAAAAACTTATTTAAGAAAAGTGAGGTCAAGGTCAAAGGAAAGGTCAAGGTCAAAAAATGTTGATGCAGTTGCATAGCTCTCATCAATATCTATCAGCATATGAAGTTTGATAAAAATATCTTGGATAGTTTCTTTGAAACTGAGCTTTGAATAGAGCTAAACGCAAAGTGTGACGGAAGGACAGAAGGACAGAAGGACGGAAGACGGACATGACAAACACTATATGCCCCGGCCATATTCATGGCGGGGCATAAAAATTAATCCTGGCATATTGAATATGCCGGTATACAATAGGAACCCCCCCCCCCCCCCGCCGGTAAAAAATGGATATAAGTATGAATATGCAGGAGGATTTTAAAATCAGAAAATATTCAGCACAATATATTTCAATTTTGTTGATGATAGAAGAACACTGTTTCAAAACTGTTCACTGTTCAAAAATGTGCATATCTTAGAATACATTCAATTACATTTTTATGATAAACCTACCCCCCCCCCCCCCGAGAGAGAGAGAGAGAGAGAGAGAGAGAGAGAGAGAGAGAGAGAGAATAAAAAAGGCGAACGGAAACAAAACCATTTAATGTTTTCCAGAAAGTACAGAACCTTCGGTATCCGGGAAAAGGGTGGATCCATCCTTCTTTCGAACAGGAAAAAAGAACAACAACAAAAACAAAAAACAAACAAACAAACAAAAACAACCCACACTTATAGCAGATAATCAAAATGGTTTTTAAGCATATCACTGAAAAGGGAGTCATAAAACTATCTCTTGATCTCTTTAAGATATTATAATTAAGAAATCAATTTAATTTTTGAGAATTCATGAGGACATGAACTATGACGGTTCAAGTCAGCATATTTCATGAAGCGCGTTAGCAGGTGTGAAGCGTTGTACTTCATGTACCTCATGAATTCTCAAAAATTAAATTCATATCTTATATTTACATTATTTTTCTGATGACTTGCTAGATTTTGTGTCATTCAACTATCATTTTTGAAAAAAAAGTTTGCACTTCTTTTTGACTTCAATCACATCACAATAGAAATATTTTTACTCATCCCACGGTAGTTCATGAGAACATGAACTTCTAATCTGGAAAGAATCTAAAGGAAAAAATATTTGGAAATGTAAATAAATACTAATAAAAGGGTGTAAATGGGATGGCATTGGGGATATGAACTGCCTAAACAATTATCTGATGGACCCCTCCCTACCCTCAGTGGAGAATGCGGGATTTTTGAAAAGGGGCGCCCGACCAGTTGTGGGTTGGGATGCAAGCTCAGGGGCAACACCAAAATCAAAGTACTGAAAGTATTCATGAGAGTTGAAAATTGTATACAAGGAGTAGGGGTCTAGTGACGAAATGTTTCCATGCTTTTAAATACAAATCAATTAGAGATTTGATAGAGATACAACATCAAACATAAGAAATAATTTCAAAAGCATTTGAATCACGGGGCCCATGGGTCAAAATACTCACCTGAGTAACTTATATCTTTAACTCTGCTGTTTTTATTCAGATTTTCAAAAAAAAAAAAAAACAAAAAAAAAAAAAAAAAAACACCTCTTGATATTCCCATGAAAAAATGTG